CTGATATGTAACTTTAACCGTATATGCCTTCCAGTAATTTGGAAGGTACTAGAGATTTCTCGGCGGGCGGATAAAACAATATAAGACGGAAGAGAGCATCATTTCTCAGTTTTTCAGTTCAGAGCTGACTTCGGAGTACTGAAGGATCTACGCGCATGCTTCTCTCTTTGGATGCGATTAGCATTGCGTTGTGTTTAACGTTATTAGTAGTTTGAAGGGGTAGCTACTGATAGTGCTCTGCTATATTGAGAAGAACGGAAAGTTTCAGAACTGTAAAGTGTTTCTTTTGGAAAAAATAAATTTTATCAAGCTATTATCAGTTTTCTGTGCATTCAATCCATTACGAATCCAAACAATAGCACAAAACAATAGCGTTTCCATTTACCGTATAACTCTAAAAAAACTCACTGCCTTTCTCCCCTACTCAAGTAATCAGCTTTCTTAGCATCACTCTCCTGCAACATTGACTCCTCATTTCAACAACCAATCAGATAGCAGCGAGCCATGCCGCACAGGCTGACCAGCCTAGGCGCTTGAATTAAAATAAAATGAACATTTTGTTTCGTCTTACAAATCGCTGCCCATAAATTCTTTTAAATATGATTCTAGTTGATTGAGAACTGCTCTTTTTTGTCTTTACTTCTTCTCCGGAACAGAAATGCTAGACGCATATTGTTGACGAAACGTTACCGCCGAAACATAAGGCGAAATAATTCTTGTTTTAGCAGATTTTTTGTCTTATAGTGCAGAATGACAAAAGGAAAAAATTTTGAAAAAAAGAAATTTTACATTACGCCCTTTTTTAACGTTTTCTGTGTTACCTTTATTTATTAAATATCATGTTCGTCGCACTTAAACCATAAGATACAGTGCAACAGTAATATCGCAAAATAGTTTAAAAAGAGCATATCTTTAGAATTTCTGATACTCAGTCTCGCGCACTGGAGATAATTTTTTTTTCCGTACAGTTTTGTAATTGTTCGTTTTAAAATCGTTTAATTTCTTAATCAAAAACACATAAATGCTTTACAGAATATGAAACTGATAATAAAACAAATTCCAAATTTGGTCTTCTAGATTCCCATATTAGGGTGGAGACGTACGTTATTCAAAATGTGATGGCTCTAAGTACCGTTATTTAATCACAATGCGAGAAACATACATACATTTTTGCAGATTCTTCATTATTTAATTTCTTTAAATGTAATACAAGGCAATTATATTTGGTGGCAACAATTTGAAAAGTGATTCAGACTTTTAAAGTTTTAGATGCAAAATGCCCAAACGTAATAAATAGCCTTCTGGACTAACGCCCTTTGGGTTAATTACAAAACTTTTAAAAGCAGTATAGCAGCATACGTTTAGAATTCCCAATGGAACGTTAAATATTGACATATATTTTTCTGTTTTCTCAGCCTTTTTTAAGTCCATCATATCAATATTCAGCATTCTTACTAAGATAGCTTTACAAAACTTGTCTTGCCTTTTCATTATTAACGTTTTGTGAGTTTACGTGTTTTTCTTAAATATCATGTTCTTGGCGCTTACGCTATATAAAATTTGATTGAGCAGCAAAATCACAAAATACACTGCTGGCCACCGTAAATGCAACACCCTGAAGGAAGCATGCAAAAAACATGAAATTTACAACATGCATTAGCAGAGGTGAGATATGCAAATGATTAGAATTTCAGCGCAGACGCACATCGTGCGCGCTGTGCTATTTAAATCTTCGAGTTTTCGACGATTTCAAGTTCGGCAATAGTGTTTTTCTCGTGGTAGTTTTTTCAAAAAAAAAAAAAAAAAAAAAAAAAGATCAATTATGCCTCGTAGTAAACAGCGATCATCCGTTTGATCAAGTATCCGAGTTCGACAGAGGAAGGATAGTGGCATACCGAGAGTGTGGATTATGTTTCAGGGAAATCGATATTCGTGTTGGACGAAACCAAACAACTGTAATGCGGATATGTGACCGTTGGATGCAGACGGGTACGACGGAACGACGTGTTCGATCGCATCCACCTCAGTGCACTACTTCAAGTGATGACAGGAACATTGTGCGCATGGCAGTGACGGATCACTCAGTCACATCACGAACCATAGCACAGCACATTCAGTCTGTAACGCATCACCCAGTGTCTGCGCGTGCCACTCGACGCCGTTTACAGCAGAGTGGTCTGTCCGCAAGACGTCCATTGCTTCGTCTGCACTTGACGCAGAACCACAGACGTCTCCGCCGCCAATGGTGCAATGAAAGAAGGAAGTGAACGGCAGAATGGAATGAAATTGTCTTTACTGACGAGTCTCGCTTCTGTCTGCAACACCACGATGGTCGGATTCGAGTCTGGAGGCACTGCGGAGAGAGGATGCTGAACAGCTGCGTTATGCGTTTTTTGAATTAATAAATAAAAACAATTTTAAAAAGAATAGTATTACTAAATTTATCGTTTTTCTGCCTAATTGATCATTCAATAATCATTTGAAAGAAATTTTTAAATTTCTTAAACAATATTTGATTTTATATAATGAACAAAGAGATAAGTGTTGCGGCAATAAATATATAAAATTCTCCTTTACTCTGGTATTAACTCTGTTAAATATCGTTAGCTATGGTATGTTGTGCTGTCTGAATAAAAAAATGGTTGCAAAAATGATCAGAATGTTTGGAATCTCATAAATTAGATATGTCCAATATTGAAATCGTCGGTTTATGTCTGAGTATTTTAAAAACTTTTTACCATAATCAAAATAAATTAGATGTAAAATCAAAAATTTATTCCTAAATTACAACGATTCATAGAATCCTAGCTGTATCCGATAATACAACTTTATAGTTTGCAAAAGGAAATTCAGCATTTCACCATACACTCATGAAAGGTAATTTTGCTTTAAAATACGTTTTTATTTTTATGACGTTTTGTGATTTTTAATATCATTCAAGAGCATGCATTTATTTCAAACAATATTCTGCTTTTTTACTTACTCTGATGAAAGATTTTTTTTTACTTACTCTGATGAATGTTTTGTTGTAACACATGAATTCATTTTAGGAAAAATACCATCATTCAAACTAAATGCCATGCAAAATTAAACAGGTATATATTTTCTAAAAAGTTTCAATTCAGATACCCTGCATGTGTCTTTTAATAAACACCAAACATCACAAACATGTACACAAATTCTAGACTTCATGAACAAAGGGGACAGCCAGGATCAAGTTAAAGGGTTTCAAAGCAAACGAATCTAACAACTGAGAACAAAAAAAGCATGCGTCTTCTAAAAGCTGACAGTATTAGAAAAAAAACCTTGCAGTTCTGCGATAGAAATGAAACCGCAAATGCTTGGATATAATTATCTTTCAATTTTTTGCTTCAGGACACTTCAGTTAGGCATATTAAATTTTGCCTGTAAAATCTCTTGAAGTGTATATTTTCTGGAATTATAATTCGCGTATTACGTTGAATGATGCAGCAATAATACTGTTCCTTGAGCACGGGTTCGTAATAGCACGAGTTCGATAATAGGTTAGTAAAAATTAATTTTTATCAAAAGAAATATTTCAGAACTCTAGAATTTCCCACAAAAATGTTCGTAATGTTCACAATATCACACAATATAATCAATAGTTACACTTCAAACTTCTAAAGACGTTAAACACAACGAAATGCAAAGCGCATCTAAAGAGAAAGCTAACTCGGATTTATCTCAGTTCAAGCGGAACTACAACTCGCAACAGCTGTACCCGACGAGACGGCTCCTGACCTAAGCTGTCCTGCAGGACAACGAACAGGATAATACCATCCCACGGAAGGAAGAAACCATTATGAGCACACCACAGCCAACCGCCGGGTGGTGGATTAAATGTGCTAAATTGAACGATAGTCATGAGAAAATGAAAGTTTTGTTATAAAGACTATTGTGCCTTGTGCACTAGGTGCTTCGTGCGATTAGAAAAGAAAAATGATTTCAGAAGAAAACTAGTCTTGAAGGCAAAATGTAAAAAGCATTGATGTGAAAGTTAGGCATAGTAATAGAAAATTTGGACTTTCAGATTTTAAATTTAAAGAACTAGCATATACATCACAACCAAAGAGCACAAAATTTGTGAATAGACATAATTTGACAAAATTTTTATAAAGGAACTAAAAAATAAAGAGAAGCTATTTTAACATATCTAGCAAAGCTACAGAACACTGATGCTAAAATCAAATTTCATTAATCATAGTTAATACGAAAAACAGAGCAATAAAATTTAATTCAAAGAACATTATCTGTTTATAATGATTCTTACCTATATAAATCAATTAAGGTAAGAATTTATCTTAATTATAGAATAAATGTCCTCCTAATTAACATATTCCGGTTACAATAAATAAGCAACCGAGAGCAGATGCTCTTTCTTAGGCGTTAAATAGTTTTCAACTGGCTGCCAAGATATTTCTAGTTTTTTTCTAGTTAGCCAAGATATTTCTTTTTCTGCTTCTCGAAATTACCGGGAAGCAATAAAAGGGTTGAACTACGGTTGCAGTTAACATAGTCGTCAAGTACATTTATTCAGTTTGAATATATATTACAGTGATAAAGAGACAGGACCAAAATGTCACCAAGTAATCGCCCAAATTTCGCGACTTAGCGAGAAATCGCCAAATTTGGCGCCAAAATAATTTGCCAAAACCGTTGTCAGCTTGGCGATATCTCGCCAAATTACCGTGATACCCATTTACTCAGTGTTAAATGTAATTGGCTACGTATTCTTACTTTTCCGGCACAGCTCCTCTTTAGGTATTTTTTTTTTTTTTTGTTTTGTTTTGTTTTGTTTTTTCGTGTTACAAAAGAAATACAACAATTTTATTTACAATTCTACTAAAATTATCTATCTAAATACAAATTTCATAGCAATATGTTGCGAAATAATTGAATAGGCTGATTTACATAAGAAAAATTCATTTTATAATATAATATTTTACTATCTTATGCTTATTTGGATTTGATTTTTACAGTACGGTTTTGACGCCGGTCTACCCTGGGAGTGGGCCTGCTTTCTATTGGTAGTCCTCAGCGTCATAATGCTGCCTGTGACACTGTTTGTCTTGCCTGCGGATAGGATACGAGAAGAGAAGGGTGGTCTCTTCTCTGCGACAGAAAAAGAAGTGTCGTCCGTGGCTCCTTGTGTCTGGGGCACTTTCACGTACATCCCAGATGATTACATCTTCCACAGTAAGTAAAGATTTCACGCTGCTAGTTTGTAATGCCTCCAAAAGATGCTGTAATTTTCACTTTGCTATAAAATCATACCAGAAATAAATATGCTCGTAAAATTAATTTAATCAACTCTTTTGTACTCATTCTGTACGAACATGCATTAATAACGGTAGGTATAAAAAGCGTCCCTCTAATGAACTTCGTAAAAGTAAGTTTATTCATCAATTATCAGTGTTTAATGCCATCAAAATCTTGGCTTCTACGAAGTATTCAATTGCAGATTATGTATCATGTATAATTAAATCAGCAAATACATGTTTAGAATGGAGCTCAAAACTTTGGTACTCTACATAGATTACAAATTTAAATAGGATTTAATTCTCCTCTCGGTAGCCTAATTATCATTTCAGCCAACAAGAAGAATTATTCCTTCCACATAATTATTGAAAAACAACTTACTCGTGGTTTACTTTAGAAACCCAACAGCTAAATTACAATACGTACCATTCGCTCTGTGGATGTATCCAGATCAGATAACGTACTTGAGATATAGCACAAATACGAAATTTGTTTCCTGCATAGAAAGAATGAAAATCATACATAGTGTAAAGTCGTAGATTTACCCAAGCGATAAACACAGCAGTTTCAATTATTTATGAGTTCTTCCCATTATGTCTATATCTAATACTCTTTCGTGCTTCTCTCTTTGAAGAAGCGGAAGTTTGTATGGTGTTTATTGCCTCAGTCTAAGCTTAAACTTCTTTCTCCAAGAAACTGTGTGGAAGAAAAGAAGAATGGAAGTTCAAATTTTAGCTCAAGCTATTATTAAAAGTAATGAAACCTTTTAATATTTAGGGAATAGCTTTTTTTAATAATTAAGGTTTAGTATCAAATTTCTCAAAATAACGAAAAATATAGATTTGTGCCAAATTCTTCAAAACTTATCATTTATAGAGAAAACTTGAGTGAATCTATTCAACGTTCTTCAGTTCAGAAATTAATTAATTGTGCTGGCTGACACAATCTAAGGGGAATTGTCATTGCAAAAGGTGACAGCCACTAAAGCTAATGCAGCAGCAAGTGGAAATTTCGTTACGTGATGCAAGGGACAAGAGATGGAGGACGTGGCCACTATACCTCTACCATAAGGATTAATTAACAGTGTAGCACCCAGTCCTCCTTTACTTAGAGTTACCAATTCCATGGAAAGCAATGGATGCCATAGTGAGAAGCTGGATATGTATACAATTTTTTATTTTTTGAACATGTGGGTCACGTGATTACGCTAATATATTATTTAAGACATTCGGCGCGCGTGCAAGCAACTACTATTGGATGTGACATCTCAACGAAAAGGAATCAGTTGGGGATTGTGAAATTATGAATATATCTTCCGGATATAAAATTATTAGGTGACTTTGCAAACGGATGCATTATGGCAAAGTTTAAAGAAAGGCAAAAAAAAGCAGATTTTTTTTGCAAGATTTAGCGTCGCCGACAGTGTTAGTTTGTAACTTTGGGAAGCATTAAAAAAAAAAAACTGACGCGTAGGCGCGAAGTCATTCTAGCACTACAACGCCCATGACGACAAGTATAATGTTCCTAACATCCCCTCGAATGGCAAGTCAATTTCGTGCAACGCCTTAGCAATCTAACTGCACTCTTCTGCACACATGAGTATTCATGAACTCATCATTCATCATTCAAGATGTACCTGTATTTATTATACAACAAAACTGCCTTATACTAACATTGTACTCCAGCTTTCATGTGACTTCATGTACTCCATTTGTCTTTTTGTGCCTTAAGTGACTGTGTGTATGTACCTGTTTTTTTTTTCTGTGCTCTCTGTTTATGCATGTGACTCATTGTGCTTTGTGTATTGTTGCCTATGCATTTTATGTCTTTTTATGCGTACGTCATATTATCCAAGTATTTTTAGTTTAACTACCTACTATCTGTAACACCACAGCTTGCCTCTTCAATCTGTAATACAATCCTACTGTTACGAATTTGGTATTTAAAAAGCTAATATTAGTTCAATTATTTAAATTAATTGAATTTATTTCTCGCGCAGTGCAGCGCGTGACGAATATTAAAAGAAAGCTAAGCCGGAAAATTGAAAATACAAGAGCGCGTGCATTAAATAAATAAATATCTCTGTTTGATTTCGAGAAAGTACTGGAAAATTCTAGCGCGTGATTTTAAAATCTTATAAAAGGAGGAAAACATCTCAGTTTGTAGTAGTTGCTTAGTTTGTTGTTATTTAGAAAACTGCTCTTGTTGATTGTAGCGAATTCGCGGATTAGCGTTCTTTAGCTGTTTTGAATTACGTTCTATTGGACATTTGAGTAGTTAAAAGATAACTACTGTGAGATATTGTAATACTGCATGATAATTTGAGAAAATTTAAGCATTTTTGTTGTGATAATAATAATTTTTTGTTCATTTTTCATCGGACTTGTGCATTCATTTCATAACGAACCCGTACGCACGCAACAATTTTTGGTGTCAGGAGTGGGGTTTGAATGCCAATAACAAGAGCGATGGAAGAGCAATTAAGGCAGTTAATATCAGCCTTTGCCTCATTTAAAGAAGAAATGAAATTGGGCCAGGAATCCGTTAAGGACGAAATGAAAGCCGTTCAAGCTGGTCAAAAAAAAGATTGAAGCATGTCAAGAAGAAATGAAAAGAGAAATTACCTGCATAATAGAAAATAAATTTGAAGCTATGGAAGGCAGAATTGACACAGTTGAAAATAAAGTTGGACAAATTGAAGAAAAAGTTTCTTTCGTAAAAGATCAAATTGAAGAAAGAGTTTCTTCGGTGTGAAAGAAGAATAGAAAAAAAGTTTCTTCTGTAAAAGAACATATAGAAGGGAGAGTTTCGGCTGTAGAGGAACGAATTGAAGGAAGAGTCTGTGCCGTCCAACACCAAGTCGAACAACAAATTGATGAGAGAGTTTCTGCAGTTGCCAAAGAAATGGAAACTCTAAAGAAATTCGTAGCGACGGCAGGGAGCAAGAGTGATGATTTTAAATTCTTACCGATGCCTGCTCGTCCATTTCTGAAGCTATCCACATATGATGGGAAGACATCCTGGCAAGTGTACAAGACCCAGTTTTCTATCGTTGCGGATGCGAATGGATGGGATTCCCAAGCTAAGGCCTGTCATCTCGCCGCTTCTTTAAGAGCCGACGCAGCGGATATCCTTCAGACTCTTCCCGAAAACAAAAGGTTAGATTTCGAAGCTCTGTCCGGCGCCTTGGAGCTGCGCTTTGGCGAGAAATGTTTAAAAGACTACAGCAGGCTTCAATTAAAATCCCGTCAACAGAAGCCCACCGAATCACTTCAGGAGCTCGCCACGGATGTTGAAAGGCTGTCACATCACGCCTTTTCGGAGTGCCCGACAGAAACAAGGGAAATCCTGTCCCTGCAATATTTCATCGATGGGATCCGGGATCCCGAAACACAGAAGGCCCTACGAATGGCAGATGTAAAGGATGTAAAAAAGCGCTCTGTTGTACGCCGTGAAATTGGAGGCAGCCCAGCAAGCAACTCTTAGAGATCGCTACCCAGTCAGAGCTGTGCGAGTCCACGACCCAGGGGACCAATTGATGGCTCGTTTAGATGATTTATCCAGACAAGTCGATGCTTTGATACGGAGTAGCAGTGAGAACAAAGTGGCTGTAAGATGTTGGAGATGGGGTTCTGAAGGTCACCTACGACGGCATTGCAGAACACCCCAGGGCACGGATAATAAAACGGATGAGTTGACAAGACCAGTGAATGCTTTAAGACGGAATAGTGGTGAAACGAAACCGACTCTAAAGTGCTGGAATTGCGGTGTTGAAGGCCACCTACGAAGGAAGGAACTGCAGAACTCCCCAGAGCACGGAAAATAAGGCATACGATTTAAGCAGACAATTAAATGCCACGGGAAGGAAAAGGACTGACAAGAAACCAAAGTGCTGGAAATGTGGAGCTGAAGGCCACGTACGAAAGAATTGCAGAACACCCCAGGGTACGAAAATTGAGACAATTTCTGAGCAACGACGCAGGAAACAAATTAATGACCATATCAAGGAACGGAGGTTGCCAGATAATGAAAAACCCTGCTTTAAAGCGCTTAAGATCTCTATAGTGAGTGGCAACAATAACGGACTGTCCATCAATGGGAATATCGATGGAGTTCCTTGCAATATGATCATTGACACAGGAGCTAATGTTACCATCATTAGGAAAGATTTAGCTGAGCATTTTAAAGATAAACTTATTTGGACGCCATCCTGCGTTACCCTTCAGACTGCGTCTGGTGATAAGATCGACATAACTGGGAAGTTAAACGTGAAAATCACATTTGGAAGTGCCGCCTACCATCACACGGCATATGTGGCGGATATCACAGATCCGTGCATACTCGGATTGGACTTTTTAAGGAAATACAATTTTTCCTTAGACTTGAAAAACAACAAACTGCTTCCAGCATCTGATGGCATGACTGTCCATCCTCAAAAGGGATCCTCGCCTGGAAATGTCGACGCCTTGTCCGAAAGATCCAGCTCGGGAAGCTGCCGAAATCATACCAGGGTCGAAAAGAAACGCAAGACTACCAGCTATTCTCCATCTCAGAAGCTCTTCGGTCAAGACCTTCGTCTGCCTTGTGACCGCCTGTTTAGTCGCCCTGCGGATGCGCGTTCATCGCCTGAGGAACACAACCAAGATGCCCAGCCCCGGTTTGAGAGGATGCATCGTTCTGCACGAAAGCGAGTCAACTTGGCGACGGAGAAAATGAAGACCAGATGCGACACAAGAGCTACTAGACATAGATCCAACAAAGGAGACAAGGTGTGGTTGTGGAACCCGATTCAACGAAAAGGACTGAGTCCTAAATTACAGTCACCTTCGGATGGTCCATATACAGTGCTGAACACGAATGACGTCGTGGTTCGGATCCGTGAGTCTTCGAACTCTTACGACAGGTTAGCTTATTACTATGGCCATAGTACATAATGTAAATAATTGTAAATAGTATAAGACCATGGTCCATTTTGTTTTTAAATGTGTCTTTGATTTGATTTGTATTTAGTATTTGATTTGCATTTAGTATTTGATTTTAATTTGATAGCATTTGATTTGTTTTATGTATTGCATTTATTGTTCATGTTGTTTATTATTGTAATATAATGCTTATTAATGCATTTATGCCACAGTTGTAAATTTAGCTTCCTGTCCAGGGATTGTACTGCCCGGGACGTGCAGTCCTTGGGAAGGGGGCAGTGTCACGAATTTGGTATTTAAAAAGCTAATATTAGTTCAATTATAAATTAATTTGTTTTATTTCTCGCGTAGTGCAGCGCGTGACGAATATTAAAAGAAAGCTAAGCCGGAAAATTGAAAATACAAGAGCGCGTGCATTGAATAAATAAATATCTCTTTTTGATTTCGAGAAAGTACTGGAAAATTCTAGCGCGTGATTTTAAAATCTTATAAAAGGAGGAAAACATCTCAGTTTGTAGTAGTTGCTTAGTTTGTTGTTATTTAGAAAACTGCTCTTGTTGATTGTAGCGAATTCGCGGATTAGCGTTCTTTAGCTGTTTTGAATTACGTTTATTGGACATTTGAGTAGTTAAAAGATAACTACTGTGAGATATTGTAATACTGCATGATAATTTGAGAAAATTTAAGCATTTTTGTTGTGATAATAATAAATTTTTGTTCATTTTTCATCGGACTTGTGCATTCATTTCATAACGAACCCGTACGCACGCAACACTACTAATGCCCTTGTAAGGCCATGTACTTCCCTTTGACAACCTCAATAATCTCCTGGTGCAGCCTCGTGTGTTCCAGGAAGCTTCTGCCGTAGTTAGAGGAGGGCTTGGAACACATGCCTGTTTACCTCTGTTAGACGCCAGGCGTTCCAGTCCTCCGTAACCTACCTACCTACCACAAGAACTCAGATATCCCGTAGCCAGGCGTTTCTGACGAGGAAGGATTACGCTTAAAGCTGTATTGTGTTTGTCCAACAATCGACAGCTCACCGCTGCACCCTTTCACGGTGGTGTCTTCAGGATCGCAATTGACTGATATCGACTAAGCGTATGTACTATTCTGACATTAAATTAGGTTCAATTTTTCATCTGACTGTAGGTGGCAAGTGATCTGGGATGAGAATGACGGAGCTTATCATCTGGAAAATACCCGTGAAAGAGATTAAAATGGTTTTTGTAGTGTTATCGTGTGGAGCAGCATGCCAGTGTCCGCACGAAACTACGTGCACATGCAATCTGGGAATATGATCGATGTTTGATACATGGAAAACGTTTTGATGCCTCATGTTAGTCCGCTACGTGGTACTTTTGGCAATAAATTGTGTATGATGGGCGATAATGCTCCATGTCAGCACTAAGCCTCTGTGCAGGATTGTCTTGGCAGAAAGGACATTCATGCCTCCACCTGGTTATCACGTTCCCCGGATTTAAATTCTATTTGAGATGTTTGGGATGCTTGGAAGCGGTGTCTCACTGCTAGACAATATCCTTCAATAATCAAGAATACACCCATCCCAATGTGCCACGGCATGTGGAAAGTTGAATCGCACTTCGTAGTGGAGATATCCGGTGTTGACCTATTACTTAAGAGTACTTTAGGTCAGTAAATTTACATTCATTGTAGAGCTTTGTCTTCGGAGCAATATTTTGCTTTTCTATTAGCAGTATATTTCAGAATCCTCAGTACTTAAAATTTACAATAAATTATTTTTGCCCATGATGGAGTGAGAAGTATTCTGTCAACACTATTTTTTCTCACATGGCTTGCTTATATACCTGATTTTTATGCTACCTGCATTTATGTACCATTCTTACCAGTCAACACCAGTTTTTCTCACATGGCTATCTCATATACCTGATCACAGCCTTGCTTATATACCTGTCAACACCAGTTTTCCTCACATGGCTTGCTTAAATACCTGATTTTTATGCTATCTTGCTTGTATGTAGCATTCTCTTTCAGTTTTATCCTCCAGTGTACCGGTAAATTCCAGGGTACGGTAAAAATCCAGTGTACCGGTTAAAACATCATCTGGGAAAATAAGAAATAAAAAATCTCATTTCCAGTTTTCTGTTTTAATATGAAACTTTATCAGTTTCAATGTTCCGTCTACCTTCTTCGGGAACATGCAAGGACCTGACTCGGAACAGAGAGCTTACTAAAGCTATGTTCAAAACTGTGGGAAGTAGACAGGATACACAAGAAGGGTATACAAAACCCTTTATTTTTCTCTATTTACAATAACTTCCGTACTTCGGAATACACAGACCCACTACTTGGGGTCTAAACGTAAAAATATAAAAGATAAAACTAAACTCTAATTTAACTTTAAATAATAAAACGTGGAAGATTGGCCTTATATTAACAGGAAGCCGTATGTAGTACAGAGAACTGTGAACACTACAATACGTTTAAAAATTATCAAGAGGATTAAAACCTCTGGCCTGGAAGGCAACCAGCAACTGAGTAAAACTTCTAAGGTAAGCGGCCTGCTTCGACTAACTGCTTCCTCTCTCTCGCTTGGCAAAAAGCCACAACTTAAATACTTGGCGTTCGCCAGACAAACTTTGCATAAATACATTAACGCTTATAATTCTGGCCGGAAGTAGAAAATAAGAAGTGATAGTAAAGATTTAAAATAAAATAAACGTTAGTAAAACTTAAGATCCTTACAACTTCTGTAAAAAAATGATATTGTATTAAAAGTTCCTTCCAGAGGCTTGAATAGTAAGGATGAGCTAATCTACTTATAAGCATTCAACGGCAGTGCAATCAATATTTCATTCCATCTGTTCTCTCTTAACGGTGTAAAGGGCGAACTTGATATTTCAGCTATAATTACAACCACCTGACTTCTAAGCCAAAGTGAAGTAAAAATCCCCGCGGAACAGAATTTTTCTGTATTTCTGTGCTATGAGGGAAAAAAATAAAAAAGGGGTGCAGTTTGAGGTAACAGCTAGAATGTTAAAATAAATAATTACTTTGAAAATTAACTAGTTAAGTTACTTTTAATAATTTATAATTAATAAGTATTATATGTATAATTAATAAGTAAGTATAATAATAATTTTAATTAATAATTTAATTGTTAATCATTTCATTTATTATTCATGAAATAATTTCTCTCTAGATTTATTGGAGAGCAATTAACAGTCGGCTTTTGAATGAGTGTTAAAAAAATTATTGTTACAGTTTTTCACTGGAACGGTGACCCCTTAGTCGCTACTACAATTAGTTTTAGTTGTATGGAATGTTACTGCGTAAATAATAAGTAACATGACTAATAATCAAATTACCTTTGTAGTAATTTTCAATTTAATTATTCATCTTAATATGATTCAGATAAAATTCCAGCTTTAAATTTTTGTGATAGGTGATAAAAATTAATCAGACCGCAAACAATTTTCTGTTATAATTTCTGTTAATTTATTGATAGGGTACCTAAGCCATAATTTCAGAGTAAGTCTTAATTTATTTATCTCCTTTTGCTGGGAAACTGAGAATGATTTGTTGTTCAAAATAGTAATTAAAACAAATAATTATATGTTTTAAAATAATAAATGTGATTAAAGTTCATTTATAATGATTTCCATAGCAATTGTTAATAGCAATATATCATTGAAAATCACTTATTTCTTATTGTGTTTTACAAAACAGAATCGCCGCCTCCAGTCAGATCAGAAAACAACAATACAGTGAAAGAGAAATCACCCAAAGGTAGGAAATTCTTATCTTCTTTTTCTCTGAAACATAACATATTTAACATGTATGGAACAGAACACTTAAAATTACTCAAAATGCTCGAGAATTGTGTTACAATTTCTCTGTTTCTTCAGTGTGATTTTGTAAAAGAATTTTTATTTTGCCATTTCAATAATACCTAGGTATTCGTGGGTAATACGTTCTAAGACTTACACTAAACAGTAAGGACTGCTAAACGAACAGATGATTCAAGTAATATTTATAAATACTGGTAAACTGTATGTTAATCACTCTATGTTATATTTTAGTAACCTGTATGTTAATCAGACATCATCGATTGTGATGTACACCGTGTATGCTTTACGCTCAACTAAACCGTACACTGTATTCTATTCCTTACCAAAATATATACTGCAGGCTATTAAATCACCATAAAATAGCACCAGACCTGACGAACGTCAAAATAACATGAAAGGAAGAAGAATTTGGGATGTGCAGATGATTAGTATTTCAGCGCATTTAGACGACGCAAAAGGGAGAAGCGACATCTGAAGCATTGCATAAAAGGAAAGTTCTGTAGTGGATTTCTCATTCGCAAAGTGCTTTTTAAGGTTTGAGTTTTCTTCGAATATCGAGCTATGTGTCGAATAAAAACAGGAAATGCTTAGCATCAAATTTCGAAATTCGATAGAGGCAGGATCGTTGCCTATCGAAAGTGTAGGTTATCGTTTCGTGATATTCCCGGTCACATTGCTTGATATCCAGTTAGCATCAAATTTCGAAATTCGATAGAGGCAGGATCGTTGCCTATCGAAAGTGTAGGTTATCGTTTCGTGATATTGCCGGTCACATTGGTTGACATCCAGCCACTGTCGTGCGAATAAAGAATCAATGTATTGCTGAGGGATATACAGAACGACACGCAGGATCTCAACACCCTCCCATGACTAACGCCAGAGAGGACAAACATATTGTAAGGTTAGCCTTGCAAAACGGTTAACCCTGTCATCGGAGACCATTAGTCAGAAAATAGGCATGTTTGTAGCACGCTCACTATCAGCTCGTAAGGTGCGTCGACGTTTTCAACAGCATGGACTACCAGCAGGGGGGGGGCATTACTTCGGCTTCCCTTGACAATGCAGCTTGAGAGAGATGGCGACTCTGGTGCGCCAAACGATAAAGTTGGATGCAGGAGGGGTAAATGTCGTCTTTTTAGAAGTCTCGGTTCTGCGTATAGTATTCTGATGGTCGTATACGTGTCTGGTGGCTTCGAGGAGACCGCACGTCTCCTGCTTCCTTTCGATATCAGCATAGAAGCCCTGCACCTGATGTGATGGTTTGGCAGCCATGGGGCACACGACACGCCCATCACTAGTTCGGATCGACAGTAATTCGAATGCTGATCGGTACATTTCTGACATCTTGCGTCCAGTCTTCGAGGTCTGCCAAACACCATCTTCCAACAAGATTATGCAAGGCCACATGTTGCACGTCGTGTTCTGACCTTTTTTCGGTACACAGGATATTCACTGATGCTCTGGCCTGCACGGTCTCCAAATCTGTCACACACAGAAAACATCTGGTCCTGGTTTGCTGAGAGACTGGCCCGCCACCTCTCTCCAGCTAATACGGTTAATGAAGCGTGGCATAGACTTGAAACAACATGGAATGAGTTGCCCGTTTTTGTCACCCAAGCCCAGTTCGACTACATGTCTAACCATGTAAGGGCCGTTTTAGCTGCCAGGGGTGGCATCTGTTTCTACTAATTTCATACCCCTGTAAACCTCCAAAATGCTTACAAATTTAATCATTTTGTTTTCATGCCATAATGTTTACGTCCAATAAATATCTTTTTTGCATTTACTTTCCTTCATGGTGTTGTAATTTTAATGGCAGCAGTGTACTTAGCAGTACAGTATGTTCGTTCTTTCATCTATAATAATAAAAGCAAGTGTAATGTGTCTGTCTGTCTGTCTGTCTGACTGAGCTCTCCAGCCAAATCTATCGCACGCAGGGACCTGGAATTTTTTATACGGAAGCACAAAGGGGCTGGCCACCAGACCTCGAAGCCCGATTTTCGATTTTTGAATTAGAAAAATTTTAAAAAAATTATTTATAATTAATTAATCACGGTTTTTTTGACTCACTGATATTATTATTTGTTTTCAAATAACGTTCGATTGTAACAATTGATTTCTTTATTCTAGCGTTAGTTTGCTGTTTTGACGATACATTAAATCGATTAATTACAATTCATTTCTTTTTTGTAGCTTGTGGGGGGGGGAAGAGAGAGAGACAGTCTACATGTCCTACACTACTATTCCTGCGCTATTCACTTATCTGCATTTTCTAAATGCACGGGCAACGCCGGGCGGGTACACCTAGTATGTACTAAAAGTAAACGATTTCGGCAATTTAGCCAACTAGAGACTTGTCCGTTGAGGTCTGTCCTATTTGAGACTACTTTAGACTTGTCTGTTCATGCTAATTAAAGAATGATGATTTACTATAGTTTCAAGTAAAGATAGAAATTAAAAGCTTTCTTTTTTTCAACAAGGTTGAAGAGTCATTACGTTATATTGATTCAGGAAATTGCAGAAATCCGCACTGCGCTCAAAGGGATGCGAACTCCGGAGCTCCTGAACAGGTCGAGGGTACTTCCAGTTACGCCACGAAGGCATGCGGAAAGTAGACAGAAAATACCTTAAATACTTCCTCTTTTAAAGGGTTACTGGGTATGAGAGGACACAGTCACCAAATCTTGTTGGTGACGAATTATCGTACACTTTGTTTTCGAGCGCCGCTTCTAAAAAAATTTTTAAAGAATTTTTCGAAGTTAGGAAACCGCAATTTCCTCACCGGGAATCGAACTCAGGGCCTCTCGAATACCTGTCAAGCGCGCTTTCGAGTTACACTCCCGAAAACATGGGGTAGGAGGGAGAAAATACCGTATATACTCCCCCTTTCAAAGAGCAACTGGGAATTAAGGGACCCAATCACCAAATCCTGATAATGACTAATTATCGTCCACCACCTTTTAAATTTGGGCGCCACTTGTAGAGCCATTAGAATTTTTTGACATGAGGAAACTGAAGAAGTTCACAATGTCCTCGCCGGGATTCGAACTCAAGAACTTCCGATTACGCGCCGAGTATGTTTCCAGTTACACCACGATGATGTGCGGAAAAGAGGTAGAAAATACCTTATAAGATAATAAGAAAAGTAGCATGGTTATCTTAGGACAATTAGAAACGTAAGAACTATAGGAACATGGTAGATACAAATTTTAATAGAGAAGTGTAGGTATGAAATTGACAAAAAGATAAATCGAATAACTCTCTGACTCCTGCCAATATAGTTATAGCTGTCAGGGAATATATCATTAGGAAGGCGTTGAGGTTTGATAATTTAAAGGTTATATGTAAGCTGAGAGCATATCAAAATTTCATTTTGTTCATTTTCTTACTTCATGATTATTATGTCCTTTCTCAAGAAAGATACAAATTATCAGATTGCGATCCTTATAGAATGAAAAGATAATATTTGTTGGAGTATATTCACTCGTCGTATTTAATGATTTGACAATATTACGGTTCATTATCCCTTACAGTGTTGTAGAGTCATTTGGTTATTTTGAAGCAAGATACATGAAAAATGAGCAATGTTCTCACCAAGACTCGTAGCTGGACCTCTCGAATACGCGCCGAGTGTGCCATCACTACACCCCGATGGCAAACTGGAAGGAGGAAGAAAATACTCCCCCTTTTAAAGGGCGTACTTTCCCTTTTAAAGGGCAACTCGGTATTTGGAAACCCAATCACCAAATCCTGATGGTGATGTATTATTGTCCACGACTTTTTAGTTCGGGCGCCACTGTAGAGACATTATTTTTTTTTTAATACGGGAGACTTGAAATATGAGTAATACCCTCGCCTGGACTCGAACATGCGCCAAGTGTTCTATCTTTACACCACGAAGGCATGCTGGAAGAAGGGAGAAAATACTTTATAGTGTATTTAGAAAGTTAAAAGGGCAGGGTTTATTCCCACCCTCTAGGTTCCTCTGTTAACCATCGATATCAAATCGGTGGATATGAGACAAGGTTATATATAAGTAATATAGAATTCTTAATTACTCTTAAGTTAAGTTTTATTTTTAGAAATGTGCTCCGTTTTCACATTTTTTAATAGACTTGTGTCAACGAAATTACTAACAGGAGTGTAATTAATTTCTTTAATGCTGTAGAAAACTGCGCCTAAAAACAACGAAGTACAATATTCTAATATTTTCTGAAAGGAATATAAATGTTCTCTTATTTGGGATCTCTCAAAATAAAGTCAGATGTGAACTTTATACACGAATTGAAGAAAGATGGGAAGAAATGAATTATTAATGAGTAGATGATACTAAACTATATGAAGCTTTACGATAAAATTTGCTGTATTATTAGCTCAAAGGTTCGTTAACCCGGAAGGGCTCTTAGTCTCGAAACGGCATTTTGCGTCGAATCATTTAAATCGCGTCGTACCACTTTTCAAATTGTAGCTACTAAGTAGTATCGCCTTGTATTATATTTAAAGAAACTAAATAATGATGAATCTCGATGAATGCGTATATATGTCTCGCACTGGGAAAAAACAACGATACCTAGAATCATCAAATTCTGAATAACGAAGTCCTCCACCCTAACATGGGAATTAGGAAGCCCAAATATGGAATTTCGAATTTGTTTTATTATCTGTTTCATATTTTGTAAAACGAATTTTTGATTAAAAAAACTCAACAATTTCAAAGCGAGCAGTGACAACACTGTGCAAAAAAAAAAAAAAAAAAAAAATCATTTTCATCTCCAGCGCGCGAGACTGCCTATCGGAAATTCTAAAGATACGCTGTTTTGAAATATTATGAGCCCAAAGTGGCGTTAGCTCAAATACTCTCGAAACGGACATGCGTCTGTAAATGAAAAAAAAACGCGCCCTTTGAGCGTAATATGAAATTTGAAAGCTTTCTGATTT